TGAGTCTTGTCAGAAAGATTTAACCAAAAATATCTTTTTTTGAACTTGTCCTTTGAAATTTCAAGTGAAAAATCTATATCAGTTTCGCATGTTATCCATTTTACTTCTATATAGATACCAAGATATACATATATGTCTTATCCACATTTACATTTATTATCTGTAAAGCAAGAATGGAAAATCACTCCATGAAAGCAGTGAATAGTCATTACAACAACAACAACAACAACAACAAAAACAAAAAAAAAAAACCCCAAAACTCAACTGGGCCAGGCACAGTGGCACATACCTGTGTTTTCAGCACTTAGGAGGCCAAGGAAGAAAGAGTACTTTTTTGGTTTTGGTACCAGGAATAGAACTTGGGACCTTACACTTGCGAGGCAGGTGGCAGAACCACTGAGATAAATCCCTTGCCCAAGAGGAGTATGTCTGACCTTAGCCTGGGCAACTTAGCAAGACCCTGTCTCAAAAATTATGAAGGCCTTGGGTTCAATTCCCTGTACTGCAAAACAACACAAGCAAAAAACTGAACCATACCTTAACATCTTATATAAAAATTAATTTAAAAAGGACCATAGATTCAAGATTTAAGACTTTTTAAAGAAAAAGATAAAATCTTGGGTCAGGGCAAGATTTCTTAGGACACAAAAGTTGACCAATTGGATTACATCAAAACTTTATACTTTGCTGTTATTATGATACTATCATAATAATGAATAACCCAGCAACAAACAGGCTGAATATCTGCAAACCATACATCCAAACGGATTCTAATTAGAATATAAAGAACTCTTAAAACTCAAAAACAAGGAGATAATTCAATTACAAAATAGGGCCAGGTGTATAGATTTAATCTCAGGTAACTGGGAATGAAAGAAACACTCTGGGGTATTCTGTTTTTGTTTTAATTCTTTCAAAAAGAACACTACCCCTTAAGGTTTTTCCTCAAATAGGTGCTTTACCCTCTACAAAAGCTAAGGAACTGTTATCACCATATCAACCAGACTGCCAAAGTCCTGTGCTCTAAAACGCAAATAGCAATTACAACCAATGTGAGACTGCTGTATCTCTGAAGGTCTACTGACAGCTAATCATGATACCAATTGTAAATGAGGTTTACCTAATAATAGTATATTACAGAAGTATACTCTGAGCCAGAGAATAAAGGCCCTGAAGCTATAAAACCAGTATATTCTTGGGAAATTATCTCAGAAAGTTGTTCCAGCAAAACAGCACTTTCACCACAGCTTCCCCGAGGAAATGGATCCTCCAAGGCCCTGATCCACATTTTATGTTTATTTCTCAATGACCATCTTAGTCATATGCCTGTACCCTAGCTGTAAAACACACTGGGAACATGAGTCTGATGACTTCAACGAGAAGACAGAATCCTTATGTGGGATATTATGGAGACTTCATCTTAACATCAGACATTTGATACAAGATGTATACATACAATTTCACATATTTCCATCACCACTTCTTACTCATACTTACTGATCGGGCACATTTTTTGGGAGGACTGCTAGAAAGTCCATCCAGTTGCCCATGTTCACCGAGAAATCCTGTCACTTGGTCCAAGAAAGAAGATACATCTAACTGGTGCCACTCTACTAGCTTCTGACCTAAAGATTAAAAATCAGGATATATAAATAAAATAAAAATCAGTACTTTTTCTGAACATTCTCATTCTTTTTGCAGACACATAGTTAAAATTTACTATGAACACATAACCCCATACCTACCTTACATTACACTGTGTCTTCATAACCTAGACTGTATAGATTATAACACAGACAGATTCCCACCAATCATGACAGGATAAGTATCTTATCTGCTGATATCGCTTATTGCCATTTTGGAGGAAGACATTCCAACAAAAAAAATAACTAAGTAAAATACAATCAATTATTAATAAAACCACACAGGGTGCAGTGATGTATGCCTGTAATCTCAGCTACTTGAAAGGCTGAGGCAGGAAGAGTACAAGTTTTAGGCTGCCTAGGTAACAGAGCAAGGTTTTTCAAAATTCATATTCCCAGAACTGCTTCAGAAAGTGGCAAGAATGATGAAATAGTGCGCTCAAAGAGAGTGGAAGGATTGTGAGGGGACTTCATGGGAATGTGCTCTTTACTCCAATAAATTTCTTAAAAGTTTACACATTAATTGTATTGTTTGATCTTTTGTTACCAAAAAAGATTCCCTTGGGCTGGGGATTTAGCCCAGCGGTTTCATCACTGCCTGCCTTGCAAGCACAAGTCCGAGTTAGATCCCTGGTACAAAAAAAAAAAAGCCAGGCGTGGTGGTGCAGCCTGTAATCCCAGCACTCAGAAGGCTGAGGCAGGAGGATCACTGTGAGTTCAACACCAGCCTGGGCTACATAGTGAGTTCCAGGTCAGTCTCAACTACATAGTGAGACCCTGTTTAAAAAAAACCAAAAAAACCAAAAAAAAACAAAAAACAAACAAACAAAAAAACCAAAAACCAAAAAAGAGTCCCTCAATATATATATATATATGTGGGTATTTAACCCATAAAGGGCATGAACAAGAAAACATCAACTAAACTATTGCAATTCTGAAACCAAAAATTAAAAGATCAATTATTTAGGTAATTGAAAAAAAAATGATAGGGTACAAGGCTGTAAACTGATATAAATCTTACCTGTTCGTGGGTCCAAGATGGAGACATAGGGAAAGTCCCCTAGCTTATAAAACTGTATGTATCTCTGACCTTCCTCACTGTCATGATAAACCTGTTAAATCATTGATATATATAAAAAAAAGTCAGCCTCCAAAAAAGTGACCAAATATAACCTTGTTATACACCAACAGCAATTAATTTCCAAATGCCCCTTATGTGCAAGGCATGATCTAGATAGTGAACATTTAAATTCTTTAAATTTTATAAAATATATTCCAATAAAAGACACAATGCGATTAGTCTCCCTCACAAATCCTGTTAGGACCAGGGATTTAGCTCAGTGGTCCCACCACCTCCACCACCTGCTTTGCAAGAGCAGGATCCTGAGTTAGATCCCCGGTACCAGACCAGAAAAAAAAAAAAAGGGGGGCCCGGGGATTTAGCTCAGTGGTGGCACACCTGCCTCCCAAGTGCAAGGTTCTGAGTTCAATCCCCAGTACCAAAAAAAAGAAAAAAGAAGAAAAAAAAAAATCCTTCCCCTTGCTTCAAGAACACATTTGTCCCATCATTCTTGTCACTTTCTGAAGCAGTTCTGGAAGTCCTCTTTCTTAAGTGTCTTTATGAGCTATAATAAAAAATACAGTTAATGCTGCTGCTGACTGCCACTCAATGGGATGGCAGGCTCATAAAAATATAATGCTGCATCCTTACTCATCTTATTCACCACATCTGATACTGTGCAACTTCTGGATCTTCCCCAAAGTCAATGGTTTGAAATGATTCAGGACATTGAGGCCAGTATTTAACTGAAGACACTCAGGAAAGAAAAGACTTCCACAACTGCTTCAGAAAATGGCACGGGCTGGGAATTTAGCTCAGTGATGCCACTGCCTGCCTCCCAAACATAAGATCATGATGAGTTTGATCCCCGGTACCAAAAAAAAAAAAAAAAAAAAGTGGCGTGAATGATGGGACAGTGTGTTCAAAGTGAGGGGAAGTATTCTAAGGGAGGTTCATGGCAATGTGTTCTTTATTGCAATAAATTTCTTAAAAGTTTACACATTAAGCCGGGCATGATGACACACGCCTGTAATCCCAGCACTCAGGAGGCTGAGGCAGGAGGATTGCTGTGAATTTGAGACCAGCCTGGGCTACACAGTGAGTTCCAGGTCAGTCTCAACTACATAGTGACACCCTGTCTCAAAAAACCAAAAAAGAAAAAAAAAAAGTTGACATCATATTGTTTGACCATTCTTTACGTTCATGTTAGGGTCTTACTCACATTACAGAAAAATGAAGGTAATATGGTATGGAGTCCCTCAACTTCCTGCCTGAAGATCCTTCTGGAAACTTACCATAAATGTATAAATCTAGTCCTGCTCCTTTCCAAGTTCAGAAGAGGCACTGCTTTGCCTGTTCAAGTATCTGTCTACCTATGTCATTCCTAACTCCCAACATAAATGTATCTCTCAAAATATATCAAAGATTATAAGCTTCGGAGCATCTCATAATGCTAAACAAAGAGATAATAGTCACAGAATGAAGGGCTGGGGATATAGCTCCGTGGTTCTGTTGCCTGCCTTGCAAGCGCAAGGTTCTGAGTTCAATCTCCGGTACAAAAAAAAAAAAAAAAAAAAAAAAATAAAAATCAAGGAATAAAAGGAATTTTGCCATTATAAACAATCATATTGCATTCAGAGGGCTATAAAACATGAACAGGCAAATTAATAACAATAGTGTTTTTTGCAACAGAAAAAATGATTCTTTCAAAAGTTATTTCCTGTAACTCTTCAAAATTTAAGAATGGGAGCAAGATCATCTAATCTTAGCTCAATAATATATAAATTATAACTAGAGCCAGGAAAACTAAGTTGTGTATCCAATGACATAAAGTTAAGCTAAAATTCAAATCTTAGTACCTGTACTGTAACCAAATGGTAGCCACTAATCACACTGGCTACTGAAGCACCTGAAAAGGTCCTGAACAAATCGAGAAGTATAAAATACACCTCTATAGCTTGAATGTTTAATACCAAAAATAAAGTAAGAACAAAGCATCTTATGAATATTTTTATACTAGTTACATAACAATTTAAACAAAAACATTTATTTAAATAAAATATATTAAAAGTTAACTTCATCAATTTCTTTTGAACTTGTTAAACCTGGCTGGCTATTAGAAAATTTTACATTATCCAGCCAGTTTGTATTTCTGTTGAGCAGTACAGTTAGCTAGCTAGTAATTTACTCTATCAAGACACTTCTGGATTCCAAGTCAAGTGCTCACCATTACACCATGGAACCCGCAAGACACTCCTGGGACACGAGTGTCATACAGTTTCTATGGCACGCTTGTTTCTCCCTCCTTCCTTTGGGAGTTCTTCATTGCTGCTTTCTCCCTTTCCTTTACTAATTTCAGCCACTGTAGGTGGTTTATATGTCATAGTTTAACTCAGTTTTTCCAGTTTTTAAATTTCTCTCCCCCCAAATCCCATACTACAATAATAAAATATTACAAAAAAATTTCAGTTATCTCTCTTTACCTGCCAGAAAATGAAATGTTCTCGGATAATGTTTTTCACAGCTTCATTGCTCCATACATCACGGTTGAGGCACTGGCATGCAAAGTCTTGCACATTTTGAATATTTATCATCAGCCACTTATTCTGCATCTGGCCACACTCTTTGGCCTGTAAGAATAAAGTTATACAGCATTTACTCAAAATTGTTTCTACTGAGATAGATATGATGCAGAAGCACAGAAGTCAATGCCTGTAATCTCACGATGCTGAGGCAGAAGGACTGCAATGTTGAAGCCAGCCTGAGCAAGTCAGTGAAACCTGGTCTCAAAAGACCAGCAGTGTAGTTCAGTGGTACAGCTTTTGCCCAGCATGCAGGCATGCATGAGGTCCTACGTTCAATCCCCAGTACCCTCTCCTCCAAAACACCAATCTCTACTTGGTCACTGATAATGTTTCAGAATTAAGAAGTTATCCTTTCCATTTAAATACCGAGCTTTTTCTCAAGTATGACATCTAGAGTTTCCAGCACTCACACATCATTATTCCTATTTCAAGCATTTCAAAAAAAAAATTTTTTTTTGAGATAGGGTCTCATGATGTAGTACTAGTACTCATGGCAATCCTCTTTTTTTTGGTACCAGAGATCGAACTTGAGACCTTGTACTTGTGAGGTAAGAAGGAGCACCACTGAGCTAAATCCCTGGCCCTGGCAATCCTCTCTTTAATCCACTGATGTTATAATGGCTCAATTTTTGATGTATATTTAAACACATTGCAGGAAGAGCTTTCACATACTTAAGAACAAAAACTCACTAACTCTTTTCCAATCCTAATTAACCAATACACCTTTTCCTTTTTAATGGATGTAACTAGTATGCATGTAGTACTGTAAGCTGCTTTATTTGCTTCAACATATCTTTCTTTAACATTCCAAATATCATGTCTATTTCAATTATTAGGCATACGCTTATTTATTTGTTTGTTTGTTTGTTTTTTGGAGACAGGGTCTCACTATGCAGTTGAGACTGACCTGGAACTCACTGTGTAGCCCAGGCTGGTCTCGAACTCACAGTGATCCTCCTGCCTCAGCCTACCGAGGGCTGGGATTACAGGCGTGCACCACCACGCCGGGCAGTCATACACTATTTTGTAGAATCCCACTAAACGTTTTATTTTATTTGAGACAGGATCTCACTATGTACTCCAGGCTGACCTTGAACTCACATATAGCTCAGGCTGGGCTCAAAACTCAATCTTCCGGCCTCAGCCTCAGGAGTGCTGGGATTACAGGTATGCACCACCATGTCTGGTGATTACACCCTGGACATTTTAATAAAAGATGCTGAGCATTGTTTCTCTGAAAGTTTTTCTAGATTTGAAAAAATAGGATCAAATAATGGTTGGGAATGATCTCATATGGCTCATTAACGTACAGCAACACATCCATCAGGAGCGTGCATTTCTTGCCTCTCATTTCCACATCACAAAGATCTATGAAATATTGCTGAATGTGAAAAGAATGGCAGAAAAGCAAATAGTATTTGAAATCTGCACAGGAACAATGATTTAAAAGCCACAGTTTTTAATTAGTCCTGCAACAATATTTTTTTCTCATCAGTTTAGAATGGAGAACTCTTTAAGAATCAATTACTTCTGTATAATAATAATAATAGAAGAAAAGACATAATTCTGGAGATACTAGGAAATGTAAGACTAATTCTCTTACAGATTCCACAGGTGAAAACTGATATTAGAAACAGAAATATCATGGTATTAAGCCAGGAAGTGTATTCCACTGGTCAGAGTTTTGTTTTGTTTTTTTGAGATAAGGTGCCACTATATATATATGGGCAAGCCTGGCCTTGAACTTGTGATCTTGCTGCCTCAGCCTCCTATGTGCTAGGATTCCAGGCCTATGCACCAGGACCAGTTTCAAAGGCTATTTTTATTTTTTGGATTTTTGAGACAAGAGCTCACTTCATAGTGCAGGCTGGCCTTCAACTATGTAGCCCAGGTTGGTTTTCTTGCCTCAGCCTTCTGAGTGCTGGGATTATAGGCATGCACCATGATGCCTAGCTTAGGACATAGATCTAATGGTGGTAATGAATAATGAAACTGTTCTATCTGAAGAAAATGTATTCAAGAATGAGGAAAGCATACATCCTAGACAGATCAGAAAACATATATCCCTGCAACAGTCTAAATTTACATAAGTTTGCCCTAACTGCAATACTGACAAGAAAAAAAATGTGTAAGACTGAAAGAAGTCCAGAGTTTTAAAATGATGGAAAATCATATCCATTTTTTTTTATTCATTAAGTATACTGGTACATTTTAGGTACACACTATGATGACATTATATATCTTTTTACACGATATATCTTTTTTGTTTTTGTACCAGGGATTGAACTCAGGACCTTGCACTTGTGAGGCAGGTGCGATACCACTGAGACAAATCCCCGGCCCTACATGCTGTCTTGGTTCTTACTTTTTTCCCCATTCCCCAGCCCTCCCTTCAACCCCTCCACCTCTCCCTATTTACAAAGACTCTGTTTCTGCTTTTCCCTTTCTTCTATTTACTCCTTTCCCTTCTTTCCTTTCCCCTACCCCTCCCACTTCCCCTTTCCCTTTGGACCTTTTCCCCCATTTCACATTATCTAATAAAACATCCTGATCTCCATTTACACTTTCAGTTTCCTACAGCAGAAAAACTATTCAGTATTTACATGTGTGTCCTATATATCTCACTTAAGAGTATCAGCTCAAGGGCCAGGATTTAGCTCAGTGGTGCCACTGACTGCCTCGCAGTGCAAGGTTCCGAGTTCGATCTCCGGTACCAAAAAAAAACAAGGGGGGGAATCTCCTCAACGTGCATCCATTCAGCTATAACTGTCTCTAGTTCCTCATTCTTTATGGCTGAGTAGTGCTCCATTCTATAAAAAATTTTTTTTTCTTTAGCCAGTCACCAGCTGATGGACAGCTTGGCCCTTTCCAAGTTTTAGCTATCACAAACTGTGCCACTATAAACATGGGTGCACATGTATCGCTGTGGTCTGATTCTTTTCATTCTTTGGGGAAGATACCCACCATGGGAATAGCTGGGTCAAATGGGACCTGTAGTCCTAGATTTTGAGGTATCTCCATACTGATTTCCAAAGTGGTTGTAGCGTCTGCACTCCTATCCACACTGGAGAAGAGTTCCTTTCCCCCACAACCCTGACAGCATTTGTTATGAAATCAACCAATAACATAACCACTGTTCTTGATATTTGAGATTCATGCCTTCCTTAATTCAGATTTACTCATTCAATAAATAATCACAAAGTACTTACCATGTTTAGTTACAAAAACAAAAACTCATGCTCCCATGAAGCTTACACTGGGAACTTTACATTAGCAAAACAAATTTGGAGATTGTGCTAACCACATTGGAAATACTGCTGACAAATGATCACTAGCAGGGTCCAAAATTGACATGATTTTCAGAAAATGTAACAGCATTTGGAAGGAAAAAAAGATAGTCTTGAGTAAGTTTAGACACCTAATGTATAGCGTGAGGACGACAGCTAAATACTGAGTGTATATTTTAGATGTTCTCATCACAGAGGATAAGGAGACAGGTTACTTTGCATGGCTAATCATCTGTGTGTATAAAAACATCAGGTTGTACACCTATGCAATTAAAAAAGAAACAAGAGACTCTTACACAACCTCAGGAAGTCTACTAACTACGGGAACCAAAGTCTGCAGGTGGGAGTGGTTATGGACAAGGAGCAGCCTTCCCTGTTGAAATCTGTTCAGGGACAGTGAACCTTTCAGAGCTTTCAATTGTAACAGGCTGCCGAGTGCCACAGGTTTGCTACCACTGTGTTAGGTTGTTCTGAACCAACATTCAAAGCCAACATAGGAAGACCAAGGGCAAAAGAGTGGGAAGATAAACATCTCTCTCCCAGAACCAAGTAGATCAGGGAAGCATGAAAAATAAAAGAACTAGAGAAAAAATGTTTTAACAAACATAAATAAAACGAAATGTAACTGGGCGTGGTGGTGCACACCTGTAATCCCAGCACTCAGGAGGCTGAGGCAGGAGGTCTGAGTTCAAGACCAGCCTGGGCTACATAGTGAGTTCCAGGTCAGTCTCAACTGACCCTGTCTCAAAAAAAATAAATAAATAAATAAATAAAAGAAGCTAAATGTAAGCTATGTAGACAGTTCTCTGCATTCTCATATTCAACCAACCTCAAATACAAAATACTCAGAAAAAACATTCCAGGATGTTCCCACTGCAAATTTTGAATTTGTCACCTAGTGACCCTCACACCGACTTTATGCTAACGAGGTGGTTCAAAGCGTACCTACAGTCACTGCCTGCAGCACCTGCGGCTGGAGCACTGCTCACTTCCGTGTCATCCACACACTACGCAGCTAGGCCTATGACTCTCGGCTCCCTACCAAACACTAAGTACACATTTTCTTGTCATGCCCTGAGCAATACAGTGTAGCGCAGCATTCACCTTTATTAAGTATTGCAAGTAATCTCTAAATACAGGAGGGTATGTACATATTTTATAGAAATGCTACATCATTTTATATTTCGGACTTGAGCATATAAGGATTGTGGCATTGAAAGCAGAGTCATGGAGCCCGTCCTCTGCATATCCAGAGGGACAACTGTATAGAAAGTTTTACCAGAACTTAAAAATTTATTCAGTGATTAAATAGGCTCTTCACATTTTCAGCTAAATACTTTTGATATTTTTGCTTCACTTTATTCAGCTAATTTTTTTTCTTTTTTGGCACCAGGGATCAAACTCAGGACATTGCACTTGCAAGTCAGGTGCGGTGCCACTGAGCTAAATCCTGGCCCTCAGCTGATTTTTTTTAATAGTAAGTACTTTTAAAGTATTTTTAGTAAATTAGGGCTACAGGCACATGTAACTGAATATCAACTTTTTTTTTTTTTTTTTTGAGACAGGGTCTCACTATGTAGTTGGGACTGACCTGGAACTCACTATGAAGCCCAGGCTGGTCTCGAACCCACAGCGATCCTCCTGCCTCAGCCTCCCAAGTGCTGGGATTATAGGCGTGTGGCACCATCATGTCCAGCTAACTGAATATCAACTTCAAAAGTATTCATTTCTTCTAATGAAATAAGATATGTTATGGAA